ACTCTTAAAATCACAATAAAATGGAGGAATTTCATTTCATGAGTTTATATTTCTACTGTATACATTTCATGACCTAAGTTAATTCAAATGTTAATGACAGACTTATTTTTGTCTACATTTAATTTTATGTCTGTTTCCTGTGACCCCACTGAGAAGTTAAACAATGTTAACTCCATTTTAATATTTATATTTTAGCCTAAAATATGTATCAAGGATAAACACATAGACACACACAGACACCAAAAACATAAGTCATGGCAGAGAGAGGGAGATTTGCAGGAAATGGCCTGTAGAATCTTGATACAGTAATACAAATTTCCTAAAACCAAGTCATTGTAAAGGTTGTCCCGCTTTATAAAAGTGTTAGAATATAATTATTCTTGAAATGACAAAGATGTGGCATATAAAAAGTATTCAGCAACAAATGAATGCAGCAAACGCACTGAATGAGAAAGGCCAAGTTCAAGTATATCTTATACAAAATCCTTGTTTAAATTACAAAATGAGCAAAAACCAATTTAGATCATTCCGAGTCAGAACTGAGATGTCCTTAAGAAGGGGTGTGGCTAATGTTCCCTGTCTTCACCAGTTTGTTATATATGTGGATGAGTTCAGTTTGTGAAATTTCCTTTAGCCATATGCATTTGACTTGCGCAATTTTCTGTATGTATAAGCCAGTGAAATTACATGCTCACATAAAATACACACGCATGTACGTGTATACACATACCTCTTTGCAAACGCTTTCACAGTTTAAAAAATTATAGGCAAGCGTATGTAAAAAAAGATTGAGACCACATACGCTATGAAATACAAAAATGAAGCTTAAGTTTTATGAAATAAAAAAGAAAGCACGTGACATTCAGATTTCTTACATTTAGAAGGAATTGATGTCAAATTTATAATTAGGGCTCCAGGTTGAAAATTAAATCAAGAAACTTATGCAACTTGTGCATCATCTCATCTTTCTAGGGTATCTTGATGTCATGTGTACCCAGTTGATAAAACAGAGTTTTGAAAGGAGAGTTTGATTCCAAGCGCTGACGTATCTGCAGAGGACTGGGCCAAATGCAGAACACCAGTAAGTTTAACAGCCACAATAGGAGAAGCTAAAGGAAAGAGGCTGCTCTTTCTATGCTTTCCCCATATCTTTCCTGCATGTAAGTGAGCCAATTTTAACACCTTCCAGCCCAACAGGCACTCTGATAATAGCTACCAGAATGAAACCTCCTCTTTTGATTTCCTCAGTAAATGTAAAGGAGTAAAGAATAAAATTCTGAGCAAATGATCCTGTTGGCTACATTCTATCTGTCCAGATTATTTTATGTGCAGGAACCATAGCTGGTTTTTTTATTCACCAAGCCTAACTGTCATAGTAAACACCATTTGTATACTTTCAAGATCTGGCTGAGCTGATAACTCAAATATCACAGTTAATAGCTGAAAGCAACACGAAACTCCGGCTGAAGTCCACATGAAAACTTCCTGAATTTATGCACTCGCCAAAGGTTATTTTTACACTAGGATCCCAAAACTTTATTGAATGTTTCTTCTAGAACATGGTTAAAGTATTGAAACACAACACGAAAAGAAGAAAAGCCATGTGAGTATCAATGTTGAGAACATGGCTAAATCAGAAATCAGTAGGACGCTAAAGAGGTTCCTGGATAAAAACGTTAATTCGGCATTCTCAAAGTATACAGTTAGACAAAGAGAACTGTCTGTGTTATAATTTGGACTGCACAGAATAAGGAGGATGTGAAGTTTCTGAAGGTTAAATAAATGTACTCCATCATTGGAGCTAATATTTTAGTATGATAAAAGAACAATAAATATGAAATGTTAAGAAGGCTGACCAGATGGGAAATGTCAGTGCAATTTGTGTGTGTGTGTGTGTGTGTGTGTGTGTGTGTGTG